TCCTGATTCCTGCTTATAAGCAAAAACTAAAGCAGGAAGCACCAGTGACTCGGTAAATAAAAAAGTGGTCAGATGACGCAGATGCTAAGCTAAAGGACTGTTTTGCTAGCACAGACTGGAACATGTTCTGGGATTCTTCAGATAGCATTGAGGAGTACACCACATCAGTCACTGGCTTCATCAATAAGTGCATCGATGATGTCATCCCCACAGTGACCGTACGTACATACCCCAACCAGAAGCCATGGATTACAGGCAACATCCGCACTGAGCTAAAGGGTAGAGCTGACGCTTTCAAGGAGCGGAACTCTAACCCGGACGCTTATAAGAAATCCCGCTATGCCCTGCGACGAACCATCAAACAGGCAAAGAGTCAATACAGGACTAAGATTGAATCGTACTACACCGGCTCTGACACTCGTCGGATGTGGCAGGGCTTGAAAACTATTACAGACTACAAAGGGAAGCACAGCCGCGAGCTGCCCAGTGACACAAGACTTCCAGACGAGCTAAACCACTTCTATGCTCGCTTCGAGGCAAGCAACACTGAAGCCTGCATGAGAGCACCAGCTGTTCCGGATGACTATGTGATCATGCTCTCCGTAGCCAATGTGAGTAAGACTTTTAAGCAGGTCAACATTCACAAGGCCGCAGACGGATTACCAGGACGTGTACTCCGAGCATGTGTTGACCAACTGGCAAGTGTCTTCACTGACATTTTCAACATGTCCCTGACTGAGTCTGTAATACCAACATGTTTCAAGCAGACCACCATAGTCCCCATGCCCAAGGACACTAAGATAACCTGCCTAAATGACTACTGACCCGTAGCACTGACGTCTGTAGCCATGAAGTGCTTTGAAAGGCTGGTCATGGCTCAAATCAACACCATTATCCCAGAAACCCTAGACCCACTCCAATTTGCATACCGGCCCAACAGATCCACAGATGATTCAATCTCTATTGCACTCCACACTGCCCTTTCCCAGCTGGACAAGAGGAACACCTACGTGAGAATGCTATTCATTGACTACAGCTCAGCATTCAACGCCATAGTGCCCTCAAAGCTCATCACTAAGCTAAGGATCATGGGACTAAACACCTCCCTCTGCAACTGGATCCTGGACTTCCTGACGGGCCGCCCCTAGGTGGTAAGGGTAGGTAACAACACATCTGCCACACTGATCCTCAACACGGGGGCCCCTCAGGGGTGCGTGCTCAGTCCCCTCCTGTACTCCCTGTTCACCCATGACTGCATGGCCAGGCACGACTCCAACACCATCATTAAGTTTGCCGACGACACAAGTGGTAGGCCTGATCACCGACAACGATGAGACAGCCTATAGGGAGGAGATCAGAGACCTGGCCGTGTGGTGCCAGGATAACAACCTCTCCCTCAACGTGACCAAGACAAAAGGAGATGATTGTGGACTACATGAAAAAAAAAAGATGACTGAGCACGCCCCCATTCTCATCGACGGGGCTGTAGTGGTCCTCAGATCCTCAAAAAATTATACAGCTGCACCATCGAGAGCATCCTGACTGGTTGCATCACCGCCTATGGCAAATGCTCGGCCTCCGATCGCAAGGCACTACAGAGGGTAGTGCGTACGGCCCAGTACATCACTGGGGCCAAGCTTCCTGCCATCCAGGACCTCTATACCAGGAGGTGTCAGAGGAAGGCCCTCAAAATTGTCAAAGACTCCAGCCACCCTAGTCATAGACTGTTCTCTCTGCTACCGCAGAGTCTATGTCCAAAAGACTTCTCAACAGCTTCTACCCCCAAGCCATAAGACTCCTGAACAGCTAATCATGGCTACCCAGACTATTTGCACTGCCCCCCCATCTTTTTACGCTGCTGCTACTCTGTTAATTATTTATGCATAGTCACTTTAACTCTACCCACATGTACATATTACTTGAACTACCTCAACTAGCCGGTGCCCCCGCACATTGACTCTGCACCGGTAACCCCCTGTATATATAGTCTCCCTACTGTTATTTTATTTTACTTCTGCTCTTTTTTTCTCAACACTTTTTTGTTGTTGTTTTATTTTACTTTTTTATAAAAAAATAAATGCACTGTTGGTTAAGGGCTGTAAGTAAGCATTTCACTGTAATGTCTGCACTTGTTGTATTCGGCGCATGTGGCCAATAACATTTTATTTGATTTGATTAATTAAACAAATAAAAATAAAAATAGCTTTCTAACAAATATTCCATCTAAGTTCTAAATATATCTGTTATTGCTGTTAATAACTGCACAAAAAGAGTAGTGAAAACATGAGGGACTATGACTACTATGTATGCATGAGTATACAAGCATATACAGTGGGGAAAATAAGTATTTAGTCAGCCACCAATTGTGCAAGTTCTCCCACTTAAAAAGATGAGAGAGGCCTGTAATTTTCATCAAAGGTACACATCAACTATGACAGACAAAATGAGAAAAAAAATCCAGAAAATCACATTGTAGGATTTTTAATGAATTTATTTGCAAATTATGGTGGAAAATAAGTATTTGGTCAATAACAACAGTTTCTCAATACTTTGTTATATACCCTTTGTTGGCAATGACACAGGTCAAACGTTTTCTGTAAGTCTTCACAGGGTTTTCACACACTGTTGCTGGTATTTTGGCCCATTCCTCCATGCAGATCTCCTCTAGAGCAGTGATGTTTTGGGGCTGTCGCTGGGCAGCACGGACTTTCAACTCCCTCCAAAGATTTTCTATGGGGTTGAGATCTGGAGACTGGCTAGGCCACTCCAGGACCTTGAAATGCTTCTTACGAAGCCACTCCTTCGTTGCCCGGGCGGTGTGTTTGGGATCATTGTCATGCTGAAAGACCCAGCCACGTTTAATCTTCAATGCCCTTGCTGATGGAAGGAGGTTTTCACTCAAAATCTCACGATACATGGCCCCATTCATTCTTTCCTTTACACGGATCAGTCGTCCTGGTCCCATTGCAGAAAAACAGCCCCAAAGCATGATGTTTCCACCCCCATGCTTCACAGTAGGTATGGTGTTCTTTGGATGCAACTCAACATTCTTTGTCCTCCAAACACGACGAGTTTAGTTTTTACCAAAAAGTTATATTTTGGTTTCATCTGACCATATGGCATTCTCCCAATCCTCTTCTGGATCATCCAAATGCACTCTAGCAAACTTCAGACGGGCCTGGACATGTACTGGCTTAAGCAGGGGGACACGTCTGGCACTGCAGGATTTGAGTCCCTGGCGGCGTAGTGTGTTACTGATGGTAGGCTTTGTTACTTTGGTCCCAGCTTTCTGCAGGTCATTCACTAGGTCCCCCCGTGTGGTTCTGGGATTTTTGCTCACCGTTCTTGTGATCATTTTGACCCCACGGGGTGAGATCTTGCGTGGAGCCCCAGATCGAGGGAGATTATCAGTGGTCTTGTATGTCTTCCATTTCCTAATAATTGCTCCCACAGTTGATTTCTTCAAATCAAGCTGCTTACCTATTGCAGATTCAGTCTTCCCAGCCTGGTGCAGGTCTACAATTTTGTTTCTGGTGTCCTTTGACAGCTCTTTGGTCTTGGCCATAGTGGAGTTTGGAGTGTGACTGTTTGAGGTTGTGGACAGGTGTCTTTTATACTGATAACAAGTTCAAACAGGTGCCATTAATACAGGTAACGAGAGGAGCCTCTTAAAGAAGAAGTTACAGGTCTGTGAGAGCCAGAAATCTTGCTTGTTTTTAGGTGACCAAATACTTATTTTCCACCATGATTTGCAAATAAATTCATAAAAAATCCTACAATGTGATTTTCTGGATTTTATTTTCTCAATTTGTCTGTCATAGTTGACGTGTACCTATGATGAAAATTACAGGCCTCTCTCATCTTTTTAAGTGGGAGAACATGCACAATTGGTGGCTGACTAAATACTTTTTTTCCCCACTGTACAACTAAAACTGTTCCTAGAGCAGGGGGAAATGTCACAAAATAAAAAGATCATGGAGGTTATAACATTTAACATATCCTTTACAAAATGAGACAATGACGCCAGATATAAAGGCTTTCCTCTAAGAAGGGAATACAATTAATTTACAAAGAGGTTATTGAACAGGGTAGGTGCTCAAAAAATTACAAATAAAACAATAAATAATCTCCATTGCTCAAAGAATATGTAGCGGATCACAATTCAGCCTTTTCGACATTACTTGTAACGTGGCTGCATGAACTTCTAACGCGGCTGCATGGGATTTGTCGGATATAAAGTTGGGTGTGGTTTTGTTACATCCGCGATAAGATAACGCAAGGAGCCGCTTGAGGATTTAACAGCTCTAACGCAGTTCCACCTCAGACACCGCCAAAACAACCACTATGTGGATGTCGGCTAACGCGCCGGATCTGATAGAATCTAGCACACCATATTTCCAAAGTCTTTAGTTTTCATTTTGATACTATATTTCCACAGGAAATATACCAGAGGTACATTCATCTTATACAGTCCGTGTCTTCAAAGTTGGAGGAAGCACACAAGAGGCTGTGGTGTGTGTGTGTGTCTTCGCCCTTGTCTTGATCCCACTGGTTCCGCTGTTGGCAGAGAGGGAGACGGTGCAGGGTAGCATGAGCCACTCACTTCAAACTTAGAGAGAAAGCGGGAACACAACATTTGGAAACTTTTTTTCCTTCTTGATAGTACATTTTACAGTAAATCAGGTGTTTGGATTGACATGTGTTTGATAAGTGTAGGGGAACTAAACATGTAAATTGACACAATATCTGACACATTGACAATGGCCTAACAGCTGAAATGTTTATTATACTCTTATTGCCTCATGAATGAATGAATAAATATGCATAAAATAACTTTTAAACTGGTCCTTTTCTGGTGTGGTCCCCCTTCACTGCATTTAAAGGGATAATTCACCCAAATTACAAAATTACATATTGGTTTCCCTACCCTGTAAGCAGTGTATGGACAAGGTATGCCATTGGATTTGTTACACACATCCCTCATTTCTGCAGACACCTATTTATCTTTCCCCACAATCCTCTGAGCTCTCTGCATGTTCCACCACACTGGGCTCCACCAGGCGGTCATAGGAGAAGAACATCATGATCTGATAGAGCGGGGCCAAACGTTAGACAAATATTCAAGCAACCTTAAACTGATTATTCAGTTCTGAGACCAAAATAACAATTTTTTGTTTCCAGGTAAGCCAACCAAACATGTTTGATAACATGTTTGACTTTGCTTTTTTATGGCTATTTTTGCGTTAATTATTACTTTGCAGCGACAAAGAAGAGAAGGAAAGGGGGACTCCAAGCTAGGCTGAAAAAATGGGCTACATGGCCTCCTCTTCCAAGTATCCTGATGGCTAATGCCCAATCGCAGGAAAATAAACTTTGTGGCTTCAATCGCAGTGGGACATCAGGGAATGCTGCGTCTTTCTTTTTACAGAGACATGGCTTACAGACGATATACTCGTCTCTACTATTCAACCAGGCGGCTTTTCCATTTTCCGTATGGATCGGCATGTTTCCTCATCAACATTTCCTGGTGTACCAAAGATGAAAACATCTTGAGCTCCTGTTCACCAGACCTGGAATTTGATGCTAAAATGCCGACCCCACTATATACCGAAGGAAATTCACGTGTGTTATTATCAAAGCTGTGTACATACCGTCACAAGCAAACACCAACGTGCTGGACCATGTATATACACACATCCGTGACGTGTACAAAGCCATCCCTCGCCCCCACTTCGGCAAATCAGATCACGTCCCTCTGTTCCTACTCCCTGCCTACAAGCAGCAACTCAAGAGAGAGCCACCAACACAGAGAATAGTGAGACGCTGGACAGGGGAGGCAGACTCAAACTGCAGGACTGTTTTGAGTATACTGATTGGAATATGTTCAAAGATTCATCCACCCAGGACTTATCCATCCACATTGAGGATGTCAGTCACAGGCTTCATTAGGAAATGTGTTGATGATGTTGGACCAACAGTAACAAACCTGTGAGGATTGGCAACACCAGGGCCCCCCTCAGGGGTGTGTCCTCAGCCCTCTGTACAGCCACGACCGCATGGCTTTACACGACACCAACTCCCTCCTCAAGTTTGCTGATGAGACCACGGTTGTAGAACTGATAACCAACAACGACGAGTCAGCCTATAGGGAGGAGGTACTTGAACAACCTCTCCCTCAACGTCAGCAAAATAAACGTTGATTGTTTACTTCAGGAAGCAGAGGAGGGAACATGCCCCAATCCACATCAACGGGACTGCAGTAAAGAGAGTCAGCAGTTTTAAGTTCCTCGGCGTCCACATCATCGAGGACTTGACATGGACCAACACCCCCACCACTCGTCAAGAGGGCGCAACAGCGTCTCTACTTCCTAAGGCGGCTGAAGAAATTCAGTATGCCACCCCGGGTCCTCTCCAAATACTACCGCTGCACCATCGATTGTGTCCAGACCGGTTACATCACGGCCTGGTACTTCTAAATATTGACTATAAATTGTGCCTTCCTGTATTATACTTATGCTAAAATGTTTATTATATTCTACATGAGCCATTTACTTTATGTTCGTATTCATATCTTTTATTATTTCTTTTTGTTTTTCCATTGTCGAGAAGGAACCTGCAAGTAAGCATTTTGCTGGATGGTGTTTTCCATGTGTATCCCGTACATACAACGAATAAAACTAGTCTTCCACACACAGAGTCTCTATCTCTAACGCGCAGGCACACGCTCACGCACACACACACACACACACACACACACGGTCAACTCACAGTGAGCAGGGCCAGAAGAGCCATCATTACCCCGAGCATGACATACAGGTTCCCTGTCAGACCCCGCTCCCACAGGGGGCCCAAGATTGTGGCCAGACCCACCACAGAGCGACGCACCCCCTGACTGAACCCTGGAGAGAGAGGGAGGGACAGGCAGACATTTACTGACACAAATACCACAGGGACAGAGATACCATAGCAAAATATTTTAAAATGCTTTGAACCAGAAAAGAAAATTAGCATCCAGTTAGTCCCATTCTGTTTCTTCCATTTCGTGCATAATGAACACAACCCTGAAGCCTATGGTTCTCAAAGCCTCTCAGTAAAAGGTGTTGTCAATGATCTGCTCAGAGGCAGCACAGTCCCAGCAGGTTTGTTCTCTACCCCCTTACATCACACTGATCAATGGTCAGAAAATCTACTCTAAATAAGTACGTTATGAACAGGGCAATATGCAGTTCAAACAATAACAAAGCGCCACCCAGCCACTGTTTTGATAAACTGCTGAGGGTCAGGAAATCTACTCTAAAAAGGTAAATTACGGATGAAACAAGACAGGATGGAAATTTAGTGTACAAGGGTTACGTTCATTAGGGAACAAAATGGAAAATGTTAAGCAACGGAAAATTCAAATACATGTTTCTTAGTGGACAAGTCTAGGTGATCCCTACCTGTTTCACTTTGATTTCTTTAGTTTGGTGCCTAATGAACACAACAGTGGTTTAGAGCACTACAGTTAAACTACAGACAGCTATACTCCAAGGCATCCTCTAGAGGGTACCATTGCTCACCTTGAGTCTTTTCCGTAGTGACTTTGGAGAAGAGAGACACCTGGGCCACAGTGATGAAGGGGTCCCAAAACCTGCAGGAACACCCCAATGATGAACTCTGCTAACTGCCAGGGGGAGTACCTGTGTGTGAGTGTGTGTGTGTGTGTGTGTGTGTGTGTGTGAGTGTGTGGTAGTAGCTTAGAAAATGACACCCTTGTATGAGTACACTCTCAGAAAAAAAGAGTGCTACATGGTACTAGTTTCCAGATATAACCTTTTTAGATCAGATACTCTTTCTGGTTCCAAATAGCACCTTTTATTTGGAACCCAGGTTCTATTTGGAAACCAAAAGGGTTCTATTTGACCTGAAAAGGGTTCTATCTGGAGCCTATTTTCAGGGGGTTCTCCTACAGGGACAAATGGTGCTACATAGCACTCTTTCTTTCTGATAGTGTATGCTACATTGTTTGGCCTAGCTAAAAACACAAACCAACATATACAATATGGCTACCTGCGGAGAGAACGTTTCACGTACCATGCATCCTCACTCACCCTGTGGGTTGGCCAGGAAGATGAGGCACCGCACGCAGGAGATCTTGCAGAGAATGAGGCCCATGGCCAGCACCACCCTCACAGCTGTGCGGCGGCTCAGCCAGCGGACAAACTGGAAGCCTGTGATCACCTCCACGCCACAGATGCAGTACAAGACACTGTTCTCCATCTCCACTAAGTTAAAGCACTGCTGGGTCAATGGGGTAACCATGGTCTAAGGTGGCGGGAAATTAATACAGTCACATTATTGAGTCTAATCATGTCCCTGGTTTAAAAATAAATTTTCTTAAATACTATTCTTAAAGCTGGAATCCTTAGCGGTGAAACTGACACGTCTGTTTGCGATATTACAACAACAAAGACGTTACTTCAAACAACGAACACTGTTTTTTCCCCCCCCATTGTACATCATTGCATCTGCGATAGAACAGCACAGTATGTATTACAATGTTTTTTACCATGATGCTGGATACTCATCTCCTCCATTTAAAAAACAAAACAATAACAAATACGCCTGGGGCGACCAGTGGCGCTGTTTTACCATTCTCGGATGTAAGCTTGAAGTATTCTTATTGTTTTTGTGATAGCACAGATAAACGTTCAGTTTGAGAGATAGACAGAGTGAGGGACAGAAAGGGTTTAGGGGCACAGACAGACGGTCGAACTAAGGGCAAACCCCTGTTGCCATGTGGGCATGTGTGGTCCGCTACACCAGACTCCGGCACTTCACGTTAACATTTTATAATAACATTCATGAACAAGCATTAATTTATTTTCTTTTTTTACGTGTTTACGCTATTAACAAATGATTTGTTCATTATTTGTCAACATGTATTAACATTATAGTATTTATAACACCATTTATAAGTATTTCGCAGAACATTACAATAAAGTCTAACGAGTCCCTTTATAGTAGCCTGGTCGTAGATCGGTATGTGCTTTAGCCAACTCCTCCAAAACCAAACATGATGATGGCATGATGATATTGAAAGTTGGCTTAGGAATATAACGATTTGGCTACCAGGCTACCCCCTCAGTGGCCTATGCAATATATAACAAATGTACTGAAAGGCACTTCACAGTGAGTGAGTGAGTGAGTGAGTGAGTGAGTGAGTGAGTGAGTGAGTGAGTAAGTGAGTGAGTGAGTGAGTGAGTGAGTGAGTGAGTGAGTGAGTGAGTGAGTGAGTGAGTGAGTGAGTGAGTGAGTGAGTGAGTGAGTGAGTGATTGAGTGAGTGTGACTGGACAGGTGAGAGAGCACTGTTTGGTTAAAGAGTGTGATGAACTGAGCTGTTAACAGCCTAACCCCTTCTTCCCTTAGGAACTCTAAACAGGCGGGGAACAGAGAGAGACGGAGAGACAGAGACAGGGGCAAAGAGAAAGAGGGAGAGAACGGGGGGCAGAGCGAGACAGAGAGAGAGAGAGAGAGAAGGTGAGGAACAGGGTTTTCAAGTTGCACAGGTACCATTGTACAGGTGTGTGTCCCACAACATAATTATACACATTTACAAGAACATATTTTACCACCTTGCGAAAAGCCCCCATCATCACCCACCTCAGCTCATGCTGAACCTCTTTGAAGGGCTGGAGTCGCCCTCCTCCTCGGGCGAGGGGGTAGGGGAGAGGTGAGGCAGGTTGCCGTTGGATATGGCCGGGTGAGCGGTCCTGGAGGCGTCAGGGATCACCACCGAGCCGTAGGACCCCAGCAGGTTGTGGCGCGACCCAATCAGGGGCTTCCCTTCTTCGTCCTCCCCCTCACCTTCTTCAACCACCTCCCCATCCCCCACCTCTTTCTCTCTGAGCAGAGGGTGAGAGGAGACACAATGAGTTGGCCTAGCAGTTAGAGCAACAGACCAGTAACCTGTCAATTGCGGGTTTGATCACTGAATGGGGCGTTCAAAAAAACAACAACATCCAATTAATTTTGGCCAGAGAGTCATGAAAGAGGTTGAACTGTATGCATGGATGTGTTAAAACTGTAAGTCCCTATTCAAACTAGCATATTTTACATATAAACAGACCATCTCATGCATCATTCAATTATTCTAAATATATCATTTGACATAGAATAACATAACATACAGTACATCTTACTACACTTGACGTTGCCATATTACTATTTTACTGTGAGGAGAGTAGGAGAAAAGCTTCAGTTGTTAGTATCTTACCCCAGGTGCAGTGTACTTGTTCACCACAAACGGCCCATACTGAAAATCACAGAGCCTCAGGAAGATGTTAAATGCTGGACCTGTGTGTGATGAGAGGGACATCATGAGACAGACACACTAACAGAGACATACAGAAGGTGGGTGCATCCCAGTTGTCTTTTTTGCAGTCCTGCTGCACATGTCAAAATAAAGCAATATCATATTCCTGAGATATTAAAAACACTTCTCAAGGCATTGTTGTGAGTTCAGGGGCCGTGAAACATCTCAGTGTAGGAGTGCCGATCTACGATCAGTTTAGCATTTTAGATCATAATGAATAAGATTATATGGACAAGGGGGACCTGATCCTTAGGGCTGGCACAATTACAGTATAACCAGGTAACAGAAGGTTATGATGAATACCGTCTTGAAAATAAAATAACAGTCATAACCGTTTTTAAAAACGGAACGAACTGAAGAGGGGACGGCCGCGCATTAGTGTTATTGAGTCTGTTTCTGCCGTAACATGGACTCCTAACAACCCGATGAAACTTTGTTGCTCCTTGCTGAAACAAGCAAGGTGTTGTGGCAAACAATATTTGGTTGCCTAGGCAACACCCCCCACAATGCAGCAGCAGCACACATATAAATCGAATGAATAGAACAGCCTTGGAACCTCTAACCCTGGCAATTTGACTGTTAAACTCATGGGTACACTCGCAATGGCTGCCTGCCTTGTGAAGCAATAATTTTCATGGTAATGTAAAATGTTCATTCAAATGGTGTTTACTGATGTGGCTCATGCAATGGAATGTGCTATTTGTAATGTCAGTTGAGTGTGCGCATATTTTAGCACATATTTTGCTTCGTACTTTGCTCCTATGGGTACTATCACAATGGTCGCTAGTCCACCCATTATGCCATCATTGACTTGAATGGGGACGCCCGTTCTATTAATTATATTTCCATGGCAGCACATGCAGTCAGGAGCTGCTTTTTTTAGCTATTTGAGCAGTTATTACGGTGACCGCATCATTTGGCAGGCCAATTACCATCATCCAAAATTCCATAACCATCATTGCCCTACTGATCCTAGATCAGTCAGCACTCCTAATCTGAGGCACTTTCTGAACACATGCCCTGATCATTTTCGCAGCGGGACTGCAAAAAGGACAACCTTGAACATACCCATACACAGAGCGAATGACAACATGCTATGAATGGCACACAGGAAGCAGACAGATAGCAGCACTGACCAATCAGAAGGCCAGCCTGTCGGCACGCCATGACCACTGCGGACATGGTGGAGCGGTCCTCCGGGGCAGTGCTTCGGGTCAGGAAGCCAAAGATGGATGAGCCCGCACCTGTACCAATACCTACAGTAGCAGACCACATACATGGATGTCCATACTAAAACCATTTAAGTACGGACTACCACTAAAACCATAAGCAGAATATGCATCATACTATAAAAAGATGAGTGTTCTAGTACTCTATCTACAAGCATGCAAAATGTGAGCCCATTTTACTCACACCGATGCATTTTGATTAGGCTATAATCTTAACAATCAGATAAATTCAAACAAATTAATGATGTCCTTTAAAACTGTCACGGTTTCGGCCGAGGCTGCTCCTCCTCCTTGTTCGGGCAGGCTTCGGCGGTCGTCGTCTCCGGAGTACTAGCTGCCACCGTTCTTTGTTTTCGATGTTTGTTTGGTTAGGTCTGTTTGGTACACCTGTTCATGTTTAGTGTTGATTATGTGTCCTATAAGTTCTCGTTGTTTCTGTCATGTGTTGTGTGTAATTGTTTTCACCTGTCTGTTGGTGCTCTTCATTTGTTTGGACAGACGCCAGAGTGTACCGTCGCACTTTTGTTTTCGAATATGGGTATTCTCACCTGCTACTAGTCTGCTGGAGAGCAAAAGCCATTTGGAGTTGCTCATAAAATACATAAAGTTACCTGGAGGACAAAGACCAACGTCAGGGAGACAGAACAGTAAAATGACCAGGGATGTATTCATAAAACATTTTCCAATGAGTTTCCATTGGACAAATTCAGGTAGATCCCTCCCAGTTTCGTCCCGTTAGCTTCTGTTTGGTTCCTAGTAGTGATGAGGGAAAGAATACAGTTGCACATCTGGACAATATTTTTCACGATATACAGTGCATTCGGAAAGTATTCAGACGCCTTCCCTTTTCCACATTTTGTTACGTTACAGCCTTATTCTAAAATGGATTTTTAAAAGTCCTAATCAATCTACACACAATACCCCATAACGACTAAGTGAAAAAATGTTTTTTTGTGTGTGTGTGCAAATTTATAACTAATAAAAAACAGAAATACCTTATTTACATAAGTATTCAGAACCTTTGCAATGAGACTCGAAATTGAGCTCAGGTGCATCCTGTTTCCATTGATCATCCTTGAGATGTTTCTACAACTTGATTGGAGTCCACCTGTGGTAATTTCAATTGGTTGGACATGATTTGGAAAGGCACACATCTGTCTATATAAGGTCCCACAGTTGACAGTGCATGTCAGAGCAAAAACCAAGCCATGAAGGAATTGTCCATAGAGCTCCGAGACAGGATTGTGTCTGCAACATTGAAGGTCCCCAAGAACACAACGGCCTCCATCATTCTTAAATGGAATAAGTTTGGAACCACCAAGACTCTTCCTAAAGCTGGCCGCCCGGCCAAACTGAGCAATCAGGGGAGAAGAGCCTTGGTTAGGGAGGTGACCAAGAACCCGATGGTCACTCTGACAGAGCTCCAGAGTTCCTCTGTGGGGATGGGAGAACCTTCCAGAAGGACAATCATCTCTGCAGCACTCCACCAATCAGGCCTTTATGGTAGAGTGGCCAGATGGAAGCCACTCCTCAGTAAAAGGCACATGATAGCCCGCTTGGAGTTTGCCAAAAGGCACCTAAGGACTCTCAGACCATGAGAAGCAAGATTCTCTGGTCTGATGAAACCAATATTGAATTCTGGCCTGAATGCCAATCGTCACATCTGGAGGAAACCTGGCACCATCCTTACAATGAAGCATGGTGGTGGCAGCATCATGCTGTGGGGGATGTTTTTCAGCGGCAGGGACTGGGAGATTAATCAGGATCGAGGGAAAGATGAACAGAAAAAAATACAGAGAGATTCTTGATGAAAACCTGCTCCAGAGCGCTCAGGACCTCAGACTGGGGCGAAGGTTCACCTTCCAACAGGACAACACAGGAGTGTCTCTGAAAATAGCTGTGCAGCGATGCTCCCCATCCAACCTGACAGAGCTTGAGAGGATCTGCAGAGAAGAATGGGAGAAACTCCCCGAATACAGATGTGCCAAGCTTGTAGCGTCATAGCAAAGAAGACTCAAGGCTGTAATCGTTGCCAAAGGTGCTTAAACAAAGTACTGAGTAAAGGGTCTGAATACTTATGTAAATGTGATATTTTAGTTATTGATTTTTATAAATTTGCTAACATTTCTAAAAACCTGTTTTTGCTTTGTCATTATGGGGTAATGTGTGTAGATTGATGAGGAGGAAAAAACAATTTAATTAATTTGAGAATAAGGCTGAAACGTAACAAAATGTGGAAAAAGTCAAGGGGTCTGAATACTTTCCGAATGCACTGTATAGTATCGTTTTGACAATATCGTAATGTAATTTTTGCACTACTTGGCTATACCGGCAGCAAAACTCCAGTATTTGTCTTTCATAGCTTGTTCTCCGTCTTCTTTTTTAAATAGGAAGCCAATTTGTTTTCAGCACTTTTATTTCCATGACTGATCAAAACTTGTTTTCCATTGGCTCACTCTTGTCCCTCTGCAGTAGACATATGGTGAGCAATATGTTTGGAACATTGAATCGCAAAAACATCACAGTATCGAATCGCGATACATACAGAATAGTGAGAATCGAAATACATATTGTGTCAGCACCAAATTATCTTGATAATATTGTATCGTGAGGTCCCTGGCAATTCCCAGCCCTAGTTCATAGTGAATACACCCCAGGTAGTAAAAGGTATTGGGGTGAGTCCCAATAATCTCCCCTGAAGTGTACACTCGTTTACCACTCCCCACAACCTTAAAAGCATTGGATTGGTGTAGGCATAGGCTAGAGGGAGTTTCAATATACCAGTAATTTCCTTGTAAATCCATGAAGGGAAGTGAACAAGTGAACACTCCCAGACAAAGGAGAGATTATTAGGACACAACCACTGGCAACAGGAACTCTCAACACAATGGTGTTGCTTTATTTTCCCTACTCATACAGTCTCAAGGCAAAAAAAGCTACGAAAAGAGAGAGAAGACTAATCCATTTGGATGTTTTTGTATCTCAGGTTACCATGGCCCCATCCAGAAACTACTGCTGGCCCTTAACCCCTGGCTTAGGCACTTTATGTAAATGTCAAAGAGACATTTCCATGGGAAAAAACGGTGTTTTGACAAACCTAAAGTCGAGGTGCAGCTGAAATGTAAAATTCACGAGGGGAATGCTTTATACTATCCTAAATAAATAATAGTTGTACCTGGAAAAGCAGGCCTAGCTCTAACCTGCCCTCTGAAACGCTAGAGGGAACTTTAGCCATATTTCATACACCTATGCAATATTATCAGATATCAACATGTGCCTAGGCCCTAGGTTATTTTTTCTGGATGGGACTTAACTCAGAGAATTGGATAGATGTAAGCAATATGGTGAAAGCTCCATCTTGCACTCTGGTAGGTCAGGTTGAAATGTCGCCATATTGTTTACATCTATCCAATCCTCTCAGATCTATAAAGGTGCCCAAGGGGTAGGAGTTAGGGGGTTGATTTGGGATTCTTACTCACAATCTCGAAGAGGTTGGTGAACAGGATGATCTTCTTGGTGATGCGGGTCTTGTCGGACCAGTGTCCAAACAGAGGCCCCGAGAGGAGACCAGTCAGGCTGAACGCTGATAGGCCCAGACCCAGGAAGTAGGGCGCTGCCCCAAGTGTCTGCAGGTACTTCCATATCGTGGGCAAGATCACAGCTGGAGAGAGGGGAGCCTAGATTAGTTTAAACAATTTGCTCATTTCGTTCCTCTATTTACATTTAGGCTGAACAGTCTCAATTTCCTTAACAACTGAACACTTTTTAAACACACATTTTAAAAGATCATTGAAATGAGTGTGTAATAGGTAAAAGGAAAAAAGATATACGAGTGCATAGGCTGAGGCCATATGGAAGAGGTAACTTTGATAGCCAGCAGCCACTAGGTTAGGTAATGAGCAGGTTATGGTGTAGTCCAGTGAGTTCTACAACATCACATGATAAATGCAGAGAAACATTGTGAGCATTTTCTTTTTGCCTTAGCATTGAAACTCTGGGTCCCATTTTCATAAAGTGTCTCAGAGTAGGAGTGCTGACCTAGGATCAGCCCACCCCCACCCCACTCTATCCACCTAACCTTAGTCATAAACTGATCCTAGATCAGTATTCATACTCTGAGACGCTTTCTGAATACGGGCCCTGGGTCCAACCCTAAAGGACAGTAGGCCACTGAGTCATCACTAAATGTGCACTGGATCCAGGATCATGGGAGATTCCATGCTAAGGAGTGAATCTGATGGAGCTCTACCAAATGAGACACAGCTGACTCAGTCTAATCCCCTGACTCAGTGACCTCACCTGACTGTCCTCATGTCTTATATTAGATCAATGGGGAATGGGGATCACACTTTTCAACACATGGTTAACTAGTGGCTCAAGCAACTGTATGCTTAAGATTAAGGTATAATCTTTGTAAATTATATTATAAATAGGACTGGTTGAGTTATGTCACACATGCTGCTAACACAAATATATGGAAATGTCTGCTCTACCCAAAATTACAACCAACTAATTGCATCATTACCGCAAAAATGGAAGACGCAAGTGGAAGGGAGAAAAAGTAAGGAACTTGTCTGTCGGCCCTGCATTAAAGGCCAAAATTGGTTATAGACAACTGTGATAAATAAAAAAGTATACCAGTTTAATTTAAGGACCAAAAAAATGACAGCTGTGCCATATAGATTGCAAAATAGTTGGGAAGAGATTTTCGATGTATCGATTCCACGGCACATGGTTTATGAACTGATACGCAAAACAACGCCGGATTCAAAACTTAGAATTTTTCAATTTAAAAGATTATACAACATTTTTGCAACCAATATAATTGTATATATATGGGGAATACAACTTTCCCAGCTCTGCAGATTTTGCTGTGAAGAGACAGTCATTAGATCATTTTGGTAGTGTTCATATGTAGCTTATTTTTGCTAACAGGTCCAGGAATGGCTGAAGAATTGCAACATTTACCTGCAGCTAACTCTGCAGATAGCACTACTGGGTGATTTGAAGTCATAGTCAAATCGATCAATAATATAATAATACTTTTAGTAAAAAAAATTATCTTTAATTTACAATCTGTAGAAACTATGAGAATAGAAAGGTTCAGAACTTTTGTGAAACATCACAGAACAGTTGAAAAATATATGGCAAATAGAAATTCAATATGGATGGTGTTAAGAGATAGATGGGAGGGGTTGAATGGAGCTGAAGGGTGGGACTAATAACAACAAGATAACTAATGTAAAATGTATATAGGTTCAGAACTTTTGTGAAACAGCACAGTTAAAAATATATGGCAAATAGATATCAAACTGGACAGACATCAGAAATAGATGGGAGAGGTTGAGGAAGGACAGGACTAAAAACAAACAGAATATAACTATTGTGTCCGTGAAATGTATATAGTATGTATAAGCTGGAAGTAGAAGCCTAAGTGTTCATTATTTATTGCAATTAGGGGAGGGGTGGTAGGGTTAGTGTAAAATAATAAAGGAAAATATATTTTGAAAAGATATATATATACATTTATATTTATATGTACAGTGGGGAAAAAAAAGTATTTAGTCAGCCACCAATTGTGCAAGTTCTCCCACTTAAAAAGATGAGAGAGGCCTGTAATTTTCATCATAGGTACACGTCAACTATGACAGACAAATTTAGAAAACAAAATCCAGAAAATCACATTGTAGGATTTTTTATGAATTTATTTGCAAATTATGGTGGAAAATAAGTATTTGGTCACCTACAAACAAGCAAGATTTCTGGCTCTCACAGACCTGTAACTTCTTCTTTAAGAGGCTCCTCTGTCCTCCACTCGTTACCTGTATTAATGGGACCTGTTTGAACTTGTTATCAGTATAAAAGACACCTGTCCACAACCTCAAACAGTCACACTCCAAACTCCACTATGGCCAAGACCAAAGAGCTGTCAAAGGACACCAGAAACAAAATTGTAGACCTGCAACAGGCTGGGAAGACTGAATCTGCAATAGGTAAGCAGCTTGGTTTGAAGAAATCAACTGTGGGAGCAATTATTAGGAAATGGAAGACATACAAGACCACTGATAATCTCCCTCGATCTGAGGCTCCACGCAAGATCTCACCCCGTGAGGTCAAAATGATCACAAGAACGGTGAGCAAAAATCCCAGAACCACATGGGGGGACCTAGTGAATGACCTGCAGAGAGCTGGGACAAAAGTAACAAAGCCTACCATCAGTAACACACTACGCCGCCAGGGACTCAAATCCTGCTGCGCCAGACGTGTCCCCCTGCTTAAGCCAGTACATGTCCAGGCCCGTCTGAAGTGTGCTAGAGTGCATTTGGATGATCCAGAAGAGGATTGGGAGAATGTCATATGGTCAGATGAAACCAAAATAGAACTTTTTGGTAAAAACTCAACTCGTCGTGTTTGGAGGACAAAGAATGCTGAGTTGCATTCAAAGAACACCATACCTACTGTGAAGCATGGGCGTGGAAACATCATGCTTTGGGGCTGTTTTTCTGCAAAGGGACCAGGACGACTGATCCGTGTAAAGGAAAGAATGAATGGGGCCATGTATCGTGAATTTTTAAGTGAAAACCTCCTTCCATCAGCAAGGGCATTGAAGATGAAACGTGGCTGGGTCTTTCAGCATGACAACGATCCCAAACACACCGCCCGGGCAACGAAGGAGTGGCTTCGTAAGAAGCATTTCAAGGTCCTGGAGTGGCCTAGCCAGTCTCCAGATCTCAACCCCATAGAAAATCTTTGGAGGGAGTTGAAAGTCCGTGTTGCCCAGCGACAGCCCCAAAACATCACTGCTCTAGAGGAGATCTGCATGGAGGAATGGGCCAAAATTGGGCCAGCAACAGTGTGTGAAAACCTTGTGAAGACTTACAGAAAACGTTTGATCTGTGTCATTGCCAACAAAGGGTATATAACAAAGTATTGAGAAACTTTTGTTATTGACCAAATACTTATTTTCCACCATAATTTGCAAATAAATTCATTAAAAATCCTACAATGTGATTTTCCTGATTATTTTTTCTCATTTTGTCTGTCATAGTTGACGTGTACCTATGATGAAAATTACAGGCCTCTCTCATCTTTTTAAGTGGGAGAACTTGCACAATTGGTGGCTGACTAAATACTTTTTTCCCCACTGTATGTATGTAAACTCAGCAAAAAACAGAAACTTCCCTTTTTCAGGACCCTGTCATTCAAAGATAATTAGTAAAAATCCAAATAACTTCACAGATATTCATTGTAAAGGGTTTAAACACTGTTTCCCATGCTTGTTCAATTAACCATAAATAATTAATGAACATGCACCTGTGGAACGATCGTTAAGACACTAACAGCTTACAGACGGTAGGTCACAGTTATGAAAACTTAGGACACTAAAGAGGCCAATCTACTGACTCTGAAAAACACCAAAAGAAAGATGCCCAGTGTCCCTGCTCATCTGCGTGAAAGTGCCTTAGGCATGCTGCAAGGAGGCATGAGGACTGCAGATGTGGCCATGGCAATAAATTGCAAAGTCCGTACTGTGAGACGCCTAAGACAGCATTACAGGGGAGAGGATGGACAGCGGATTGTCCTCGCAGAGGCAGACCACATGTAACAACACCTGCACAGGATCGGTACATCCGAACGTCACACCTGCGGGACACGTACAGGATGGCAACAACAACTGCCCGAGTTACACCAGGAACGCACAATCCCTCCATCAGTGCTCAGACTGTCCGCAATAGGCTGAGAGAGGCTGGACTGAGGGCTTGTAGGCCTGTTGTAAGGCAGGTCCTCACCAGACATCACCGGCAACAACGTCGCCTATGGGCACAAACCCACCGTCGCTGGACCAGACAGGACTGGCAAAAAGTGCTCTTCACTAACGAGTCGCGGTTTTGTCTCTCAAAGGGTCATTGTCGGATTCGCGTTTATCGTCAAAGGAATGAGCGTTACACCGAGGCCTGTACTCTGGAGCGGGATCGATTTGGAGGTGGAGGGTCCGTCATGGTCTGGGGCAGTGTGTCACAGCATCATCGGACTGAGCTTCTTGTCATTGCAGGCAATCTCAACGCTGTGCGTTACAGAGAAGACATCCTCCTCCCTCATGTGGTACCCTTCCTACAGGCTCATCCTGACATTACCGTCCAGCATGACAATGCCACCAGCCATATAGCTCGTTCTGTGCGTGATTTCCTGCAAGACAGGAATGTCAGTGTTCTGCCGTTGCCAGCGAAGAGCCCGGATCTCAATCCCATTGAGCACGTCTGGGACCTGTTGGATCGGAGGGTGATGGCTAGGGCCATTCCCCCCAGAAATGTCTGGGAACTTGCAGGTGCCTTGGTGGAAGAGTGGGGTAACATCTCACAGCAAGAACTGGCAAATCTGGTGCAGTCCATAAGGAGGAGATGCACTGCAGTACTTAATGTAGCTGGTGGCCACACCAGATACTGACTGTTACTTTTGATTTTGACCCCCCCTTTGTTCAGGGACACATTATTCCATTTATTTTAGTCACATGTCTGTGGAACTTCAGTTTATGTCTCAGTTGTTGAATCTTGTTATGTTCATACAAATATTTGCACATGTTAAGTTTTCTGAAAATAAACGCAGTTGACAGTGAGAGGACGCTATGTGTGTATGTACAGTTGAAGTCGGAAGTTTACAT